CCCTACAAATAAAAACATAATTTTATATTGTTTCTTATTTTATATAAAAATAACTTGCAAAATTATAATTCTTATGAAAAACAACTACAGAATAAAAGGTGACTATGACTTGTTTGTGACTGAATTAACCAAAACTTTTTTAAGACAACAAAATAAAATCTTCAAATATATTATAGGTAAGTTTTGAAATCAAAAGACCAAGAGCTTGCTCAAACTTTAAATACACTGAATTTTTTCCTTCAACATTCAGTGTTACAGATTTGAAAGAAAAAAAAGAATCAACACTTACACTGCTTATTTAAATGTAGTTTTCTTAAATCACTAAAATTGAAAAGAATTATAATGTTTTACACAAGAGCTAAATGGCTGCTTAGAGAGATCACGTATCAAAGCATCTCTCTCCTCTCCTAGTCCACAACCTGAACTAATTAAACAGCATTTATAAAAAGTAGATGAGGTAAGTATCTTACACACCTATTGCTGTCCATGCTTCACATGTTAAACATTGTCCTAATTCATCCCTCTGCCCTCATGACCTGGATTCAAGAATAGTTTAAACAAGTGCAGCTGCTGGAAGATGGTGGCCTGCCCTCTTATTCCCACACCCCGTTTAGGCCCATCCTAGAACCAAGCATTACTGTGGTAACACGGTGAGCAAACCAGAAAACTAACTGATTTGAAGCTGGCAAGTTAAAAGTTTTAGATCCAAATATTCCCAACCCGATTCACAAAAGTACCTCTGCTAGCCCATGAAGAATTCATGGAATTGTAATAAAATATAAAGGGCAGCTGCTGCATAGTAGCTTAAATCTATACTAAACTATATACACCTTACTGTGTATAGGAAGATAATATAGCAGGATAAAGTATATCCAAGCCACCTTCCTGGGTGTTTCCATAAGCCATTCTTAAAAATCTAAAAGGTTCTAAAACCTCCTCAGATAATCTATACCAATATTTAATGACCCTTGCAGTCTGATCAGTAAATTTCTACAAGTCTATTACTTCATATTATCTTCAGTGGACACAGGAAACAGCCATTCCATATTGCTTCCTTTCCTTATGATCTTCTAGTATATAATAACAGTAGTGCCCAGCTCTTGCATAAGTCTTCATACATGCCACTAGCTCTCACAGCATCTTATAAAAAAAGTAAATCATAATTACTCGTATTGTACTGGCACAGACAAGCAGAGTGATTTGCTCCCCAGCAGGCTATGAGCAGAGTCAGGAAAAGACACTGGTTTTCTAAGACCCAGTCTGGTGCTCTGACTACTGGGATACACTAAAAACACACTCCTACAAAAATCCACATTTCCTGATGTCTGATACTGCTAAACATTTTAAAGATGAAAGTCATAAATTACCATGGCCATCTACCTACTTAACTATAACAAAATAAAATAGTGATAAATACAGAGTCTTAAGAAGACAACTAAGAAGGTAGCAGTGACTTACTTGCTCCTGTCGGAGTATTCTGTTTTCTAAAATATTTTGATTAGACTGTGATACAAAGGGCCTTTCTCCTGTGTAAAGACCCTCATCCTCAAGGTACCTAGGCTGCATGTTTCTAGGCATCTTCTCAGAAGCAGGCACTAATGAGAAATTAAATAGAAAAGCATGTAACATATAACTTATAAACATAGTTTAGTTTATTAATTCTCTAAGAGTCTACGCCATTCTTAAAACAAATGGGACTGTGTATTAAGCATGCTGTCAGAAATATTTTCCTAACTAGGAAAAAAAGAACTAAGTATATAACCAAAACAGGTCCTTTTCTTAATCAGGACAGATCCACAGTTTAAAACTATCATAAAAGTGTCACAAGTCTTCTAAACAGGTAATTAAACATTTCCTCACCAAAAAATACTTCAAATAACTTAGTGGAGTTTAGTTTTAATGGTTCCTTGCATTACAGTGTAAAAACCCTTTAGCAGGAACAACTGACTAGACAAACATTTCTAAGCCTTTCCCATACAAAGTGAAACTTTAACCAAGATTAATCTGAACTACTATTAATAGTTTACTTAAGTCACTCTCATAACAAAATACAGAACATGCATAAAAAGTCATGTTATCCCAATAACAACAGGTGGAATTCTTTAAAGCTTGCCTGCAGGTTTATTTCATTGGTGTATATGGGTTCAGTATTTTTAAAGAAGCAACCTCAAAGCAGGGAGGGATTATGCTGAGGATTACAATAAAAGTTAGCCCCGAAATCAGAACACAGTGGACCACACTGCAAGGAGTCAGAACTAAGCTACAAGACACAAAAAAAAGGCACCCAATGTCAAATATCTTGACATCACATTATAAGCTGTGCCAATACCATTCTAGTACAGACTACAGAGAGACTCATTTCTGTTTCTTCCAGTTCAAATATTACATAGCAAGTGATATTATAAACCAATTTTTTAGGACTTTGCAGGTCTTTGGGAATAAAGCAAAAAGGTTAGAGACATGATCAATGTTCATTAACTACTTCCAGGTCACCAAAATCCTTGTTACTTGCATGACTCTTGACAAACTTGCCACATGGAAAAAATTGCAGATGTGGCCAAGCAAATAAATAGTGTAAGTTATAACGTACAGCACATGAGCCACCCTTAGTACCTAAATGCGTGTACCCAGTAACCTGTTGCACATGTTAAATAATGTAATACCTAAAGCCCAGTGAAAGAGGGGCCAGCCATCTTGCATTTACTATAGACAGCCCTAAGGTAATTACCCCAGAGCAACTGACATGCCCTGAGTTCACTTGCTAGCATACCAGCTGGTGACCTGCTGAGGTGTGCATGTTCCTAGTTAATCTGTTTTGTCAGACCTTTTCAGACTTGACTGGATGATCAGTGTCAGAAAACCGCAATTAAATATCTCTCTATTGCCAGAGACAGTCTAATACAAGATTTTTCAGCACATCAAAGGGTGCCATGCTATGCAAAATCCAGGAGCAAACTGGATAAGCACAATCTTCATACCTGCTAGCATGCTGGGAGTGAAGAGAAATTCTTTTTCCTTTTTCAGTTGCTCAGAGTAGCTTTCACAATCAGCAGGTTTCATTACTAGAAAATCTTCGGCTGTCTGCCCTATAACGAATAAATCATCATCTTTAACTAGGCGTACGTCTTCATCCTATAGTTTAAGTGCAAACGTCTCCGTTAGTTCGTCTGTTTCTTAAAATGGACATCTTTAGAAAGTATACTTTCAGAATTTTTAAGGAAACAAAAGTTGCCATTTTGCATTAGATGATTAAAATTAATTCAAGAAGTCTGAATAAAAATATGAACATTTAGTCTATAGCTCACACCATTTCAGCCTCCTCTTGTTCATCCTCATGGGTTTCTACACATTCTTCTTCTGCCTCCTCTTCTTCATTTAATCCATTCATTTTCCTGGCTCCAGCCTTTATATTCTCTGGTTCAGGATCAAAATTGAAGGTAAAGAAATTATATGCTTCTTCAGCAGAAGGAAAATCATTCTGGAACTAAGAAAAGATGACAAAGATACTTTAATAGGACATTTATAAGAAATTTAGGGCAAGTGAGGATATCTTTCCATTAATAATAGCAGTAACAGCACGTATAAACAGTTGTCACAGGACAATAATTATTTTATCTCAAAGAGAACTCACCCAAATGTTGAGGCTGACTGAAATTTTTAAATGATACATGAAACTTTCTCTACTGCTATGTTATTATTTCATTAAATATTTCTTGCAATGTTTCATTAAAAAAAGTTACCTGGTTTAATTTTAACCAGCTTATTGTTTTAAATGTAAACAATTTATGAATGAGAAATGCCGAAGTTTAAATTCTGGTCATAATGCAGATACCCAGGTGAATGAAGAGAAATGTCTAATCATAGAATCATTTGGGCTGGAAGGGACCTTTAGAGGTCATCTAGTCCAATCCCCCTGCAGTAAGCAGGGACATCTCCAACTAGGTAAGGTTGCTCGGAGCCCCATCCAGCCTGACCTTGAATGCCTCCAGGGATGGGGCTTCCATCACCCCTCTGGGCAAGCTGTTCCAGTGCTTCACCACCTTCATTGTAAAAAATTTTTTCCTTGTGTCTAGTCTAAATCTACCCTCTTCTAGTTTAAAACCATTACCCCTTCTGCTGTCGCAGCGGACCCTGCTAAAAAGTCTGTCCCCATCTCTCATACAGGCCCCCTTCAGGTACTGGAAGGCCGCAATGAGGTCACTCCAAAGCCTTCTCTTGTCCAGGCTGAACAACCCCAACTCTCTTTAGTGTCAGGATGAATCCTCTAATAAAAGAATAAAGAGTAGCATTTTGTGGCTAATAAATATCAATATACTAATCTGTAAATTGCTTTAATTGCCAATCAGTGGCATTCAATAAAAAGGATTTAAACAGAAGAAACATTTTTCCTTCAAGCTCCAGTAATTGTGTCCAGACAGATTTACTTGATTTTTTTTTTAAAAAAATCAAATGATCCAAAGCTGTTCTTACATTTGATGAAAGTTCCCTTCAACTGTTGGCATATACTGTTTGTAAATTTTTAAATTAAATAAAATCTTCTCCACTGCTTAAGACTGAATTCTGCCTGCTTCTTCAAACAGAATAATGAAGCTATACAAAGTTTAAATTAAATTAATATCAGTTATTGAAATGAATGAATTGGTACTTACTGTTGACTTTTGCTTAAGCTTTTTTACAGAATCACGAAACTTTATTTTTGATGGTAAGTGGGATTCATCCTCTTGCATCTCCCTAAACTTATCATTATCAGACTGCATAAAAATACATAGATAAGTTATAGCATCATTTACTGATCCATAACAAAAAGACAGACAAACAGCTGAGTACATAGATTAGATATTGCATTTTCACAGCAAAAAAAATAACAAAAAAGAAATACAGTCACTGTGGTAACAATTATACTGATTTTCTACTTATTTTAAAAGGGTACATCTAATTATTTCTTAACTTCTTTCTCATTTGGGTCAAAAAACAGACTGTAGACTATCAAGAAATGGTTCACAACATAAATGTTAGTTTACTTTGTTCACTGCTGCCGAGATGATTGTTTCTGCACTCCCAAACATAAGCAACCATATGCAAATCTCCACAAGGGGGAGAAATGGGGTAGCAATGCAAAATCTTCCCATCTACAAATGAGAGGCTGACAGCACAAGCCAGGCAGCAGCGGCAAGGGTGCTGCTCACAGATACTGCTGACCAGGGAAGGGTATCCAAGAGCTAAGGTCAGCTTCTCATATAGCCCCTGCTGCAATCAGGAAAAACCTATTTGGTATTATTCAAAAAAAGATGGTGTCCATTGCTTTGGTGCCTAAATACAGACTTGATTATTTGTTTTGTTTGCTCTCAAATAATTATTGCTAGGCTACTCCACGGGTGATACTACTCTGCCTTTTCAAGAAAGGAGGCAGCATGGTTATCCATTTCCAGTTTTCTGAAGACTTCTCTGTCCCTACACACAGATCACTGTAAACATCACTGTTTTTGAGGCTGCTTCAGCAAGTTCACTTAAATGCTTCAAAGTGATTTTCATCAGGCTCAGCCAATATAAACACATCTAACATTCTATCCATTTTTCCTCCTTGTGGCCTGAATTCTTAGATTAAAGGAAGACATTTCTCAAGTTTACATTTATTCAACCTAAACTTCAAAATAGCAAAAAGAAAATCTCAAACCCTGGCAATATGATGGCTATTTGTTTAACAACAAAACAATACTTCATACGTGTGTAAATAAGTACAGGAAACAAAAGCAACATGTGGAAGGTTTCAGATATACTTTATATAAAATTGGTAACCAACTTTAATAAGGGTATCATTTCCACATTTCCCTAATACAAGCATATTAAAACAATACTACTTAACTGAAAGCTATGACAATGACTTTTTATAAGAAAACACTGCCAAAAATCTCCCCACAACCTACATCAATAGGTAATTCTGCCCTAGACAATCAATTTAGCCAGGCTAACTCAGATTGTTTGGAATTCCAGATAAAAACATTACTACTACATGCTATTTCCTGGGCATACATACTCTTTGGAACACATTTTCTACAGGCAAGCAATCTCTTCGTGAATTCTGAAGAATATCTGGGTGCAAGGTCTGCACAGACATAGCCTTTGTCATTTTTTAAAATACACAATCCATTTTCTAACAAAGAACACGCTTATCCTAAAAAAAAACCAAACTGAATATAAAACAGTAACAAGGAAATACCATACAGTATGATGACATAAAGTTAATATCCAGTCTTGAGCAATTACATTCTGTAAATTTATATAAAGCTATAATAGAGTGGCCCTTTCTGTTACAGTAACTTTCAAATACTTCAAGGCAAATACTTAAGCAAGAGAAGTCATGAGCCTGTAAATGACAGAAGTTTCACATGATGTCTATACTACAAAGAAGGCAAATTATTATTGTTAAATATGTACATTAAAAGGAATAATCAGAAAGGTTCCTTCCTGGTTACTAATTCAAACAATAGTATAATTTTGATCTCATTGAAATAAATGAAATTGATCTTCAAGACTATGTGTAGTCTTTCATTTATTTCATGTTTCACATTCACTTTCTTATTATCAGAACAGTAAGACAATGCACCTTCTTACCGCTTTATCCAATCTGACTTCTGTTTTCCTTTCTCTGATGCTTTTTAAACGCCTTGGTTGTGGACTGGGGCCTTCTTCCAATAAAGTAGTTTCCGCTTTTGACTAAGCAAACAAACAAACATGCTTAGCTATAGTAGAAATATAATAAGACCAAAGCTTCAATAATTCCCAGGAACTCAACAACTTGCACATGTTTGTGCTAGGGACAGAATCTTTTAATTATATAATCAGTTTAAGAGATTTTACAGGCCTAAACGTTAATACCCCTTATTACACTCCACAGTAAACTTACAAGGAAATCCACTGATTTCAAAACAGTGTGAGAAATTTTTTGACAAAAACACGGAAAGATCTTGTAATGACTGCATCATTTGAATTATAAAACAATTACAACTTTTATATTATTACAAACAAATTAAATATAAAATTTAGAAAAAATATAGCAATAGAAATACATTGGAAAATAACTGTACTGATGAACTAAGTATCATTTCAGCATTAGAAATAAAAAAGCAGATATCCCAATTCAGATTCACATAGCACTAAGCAAGCAAAATGAAGCGGGTCGTACTTTTAAGACCAAAGTCAACTAAAGAGGACTTCAGAAGGATTCTCACCCTTGCTGCTTTTAGTTTCTCTCTCATTCGCTCCTTAACAGAAAATTCTGTAGACCCTGTCCTTGATGTAGAAGGAACAGGTGGCAAGTCTGAAACAGAGAAAACGCAGTAACATGTTTAAGTATTTTCTGACAGAAACTTAAAATTACATAAAATAAAACCACATATACCATACAGAGTCCCACGTTCCAACAGAAAGAATTTGCATGAGCAAACATGAAGGAATGAAACATTTTTTGGAATTCAGATCTTACAGCTTATCACTTAAATGCCTTTAACTGCAATGGATCTACCTTTCATTATATACTATGAACCACCTTAAGTAAAGCATATACACACTTCTTTTTGTATTAAAAATACATAAAAAAATTACCTGGTATTTTATAAGCTCTTAGTCAGAGCTGTCTAGATCTAATTTTGAATGGTGATGTGCTATAAATCCCGACACAGGTGTTATCGGAACAGTAAAGAATTTACAACCTTGCTTCCTTTTTCAGCTTAGAGCTACCTGCTTTTTGTAGTGACAAAATACTAATTTCTCCAGTAGTGTTTTTGTGCTATAGCTCTAGTACAATCGAGAGAGTAAGATGCATTTTAGCCTGTCCCATGTATGACTGACAGCATCATCAAGTAACTTCCCATTTCACACACAAGCTACTCTCAGCTCTACTGGTGCCATCCCCCTGGAATCAACAAATCACCTCCTCCAAGCTCAAGAGCAGTCTGTCCCCATAGTCAGCAAGTCAAGCAAGACCCACAGGAGGCTACATGGATGAACAAACTCAACTCACGCATAAAAGGAAAACTTAACAAGAGATGTAAACAGGGACAGGTGACCCGAGAGAAATACTATGACACTCTCCAACCATGCAGGGATGGGCTTAGGAAAGCCAGAGCCCATCTGGACTTGAATCTGGCAATGGATGCAATGGCCAACATGGTGGGATATTCCAGGTGTATTAGCGGCAAAAGGAAGACCAGAGAAAATGGTTACCTGCTGCCAAATAGGGCAGAGGACCAGGTGACAGGGGACACAGAAAAGACCCAAGTAATCAGTGCTTTCTTCATCTCAGTTTTTACTGCCATCAGGAACACCAGGTCCCAGAGAACAGCAGCAAAGCCTCGGGCTGCAAGTTACCCTCAGCAGAGGAAGATCAAGTAAGGCCATATTCAAACAAACTGAGCATATGCAAATCCATGGGTCCTAATGGGATGCTCCCATGAGTGCCAATGTCACCTCAAGGCCACTCTCAGTTATCTTTAAAAGATCATGGTGATGATCAAGGGAAGCTCCTGAGGACTGCAAGTGAGCAAGCATCACTCCTGTCTTCAAGGAGGGGAATCTGGGGAAATATACGCTGGTCAGCCTCATCGTGATGCCCAAGAAAGTGATGGAGCAAATAATTCTGGAAACCATTGCCAAATATGTTAAGTACAAGATGAAAACTGGGAGTCATCAACATGGATTTATGAAGGGGAAAAACTTCTACCTGACCAATGAGACAACTTTCTATGATGAGATAACTGGGTCAGTGGATAAAGGGAAAGTAGTGGATGCTGTTCATCACTGTTTCCTGTAACACCTTTATAGAGAAACTGATGAAATATGGACTACATAAGTAGGTTGACTGAAAATTGGCTGAACAGTTAGGCTCAAAGGGTTGTGATCAGTAGTGTTAAGTCCAGCTGGAGGCCATCACTAGAGCTGATTTCAAACAAACAAATCCAACAACCCACCCTCCAACCCCAAGAACTCATCACAACTCTACATCCTTTAGGATCAAGTATTCTCTATTGAACCTGTGAACATACAAATCTGAGTTTTAAATCAGTGGCATATAGTTAGATTTTTTCATAGTAAATACAAGGTTTGGACATTGACTTGCGTAGTCATGTGATTATGGAAAAGAAGAACTACTGTTTGTTACAGCCTTTGAATTGCTGTTCCCAAAAAGCCCAGGCTTTTCTTCCGAATGCAAACACGTCTTTGATAACCAAACTTATCAGGGCCTCCTTTTCCTCTGAAGGACTGATAGTATTCCTCCCCCTTATCTTCTATGTATCAAATCCTCTTAGATTATGATTTCTTCAGGTAGATTCAGTAAATATTAGTAGGGTGACACTGTACCCTATTGCATTCTCTGATAGCTAAATAAAAAGAATGAATAATTATGAGTTTATTTACAGAGAAGCTACGCTCTTGGGGTCAGAAATACAAAGGAGTAGATACCTACAACCCATCCTCTCATATAAACACAAATTAAAAACACTTTAAATGTACAATATAAATGATATAGCATCTGTAAGCAAACGGCAACACTTCCAGCATCTTTATGTATTAAACACAATTATGGTCATCTACTGCATGGATTTTGAGAAGGTACCCATCTGTTTCTCTTGGATTGCACTACCTCTGTAAAAGAGTCAAGGTTATCCTATTTATAAAAGTCTCCAGAATATTTTAAGCTGAAAACAGTTTCATATACCTAATAGCTTAGAAAGTCATCACTTAAAGTATTTTTTCTTTTTGAAAGACCCAATTCATTTCTTCATTAACAAAACTGATTCTACCTACATAATTGTCTCCCCATCTGAACAGACCTCTTCAGTCTCGCTGGAGCCCTGGAGCTCACCTGGGAATTCTCAGGAGCTTACTGAAACTTTGACTGACATATGCAATATTAACCTTTTAAAGATAAGTACTTTACATCCCTTCATACACATGGAATCCTCAGATCTTATTTTTTTCTCCTGATCTTTTGTAACTAGCTTTTATTTCTAGAAGGAGCTCCATCGTTCCACACAGACCACACTGGCCCTTTTACAGGAACAATTATCAGGAGAAAACGGTAGCTCTTTTTGCACATGTGCTTTGTAGTACAAGGCTTTTTTTTTTTCTTTAATTTTTAATCTGTGAACATATGAGATTCTAGGTAAATAAGTTTTTCTAGTTATCTCCACTTATAGAATTATATTACTTGTCAGTTCTTTGAGCCAAATACTGATTTGTTCTTTGTCCTTCCAAAAGAACATTGTTTGCCAAGGTCTAAGTGTGATTTCAGGTTTATGTAAGGCATTAAATTCATGAAAAGGAGATAAACCAGCAAAGGGTAAGGGCTTAGGAGTGGTAATGTCACACAACATATATCACACAATCGCTGATTCAATATTATTCCAAGAGCTTTACTGGCAGCTGAAAATACTGTATGTTGAATACACAACTTAAATATTTAAAGGCTACCTACTATACCAAAGTCAAAGTGCAATCTAATTTCTACAATGACCTTAGTCCACTGTCATTTAGAAAAGAAAAACACATTATGATAAACCCCACTAATACTGGTTCTACTCAGAAATATCAAAATATTTTAAAAGATTAGGATTCTCCCAAAAGAAACATTCATTGTATTTGGAAATTTTCAAAAGAAAGAACAAGGCACAAAGTGAGTATCATCAGCATGAGGCACATAAGAGAAAAGCAAGCATCCCATAACCACTTCCTTACCAAGAGGAACACTAGAGACAGAAATAAGTACTCAGTAGAGACACTAAGAGATGACACACAGAAAAGCCTATTTGCATTTTGTCTTTTCTAACAAAGAATGCAGTATGAGTAAGAACAGGGTAAGAATTAATGACAAAACAGAAAACAAGATCTAGACAAATATTCATCAGACTGAGCTAACTAAAAAATGATCATTGCAGGGTAACCGATAATGAACTGGCTGCAGCAAAATCAGAACCGTTGATGATTCTGAGGAATGATGGAGAACAGGCAAGATCTAAAATCCCAGGTAAGTGTCTTTTAATAAGAACTGTGAAAGAGCAAGCTGCAGAAGCATACATAAGTCTGTCGAACTTCAACTCTACAGAACAGACTCAGCCTGTTTGTAAATATTTAAAAGACAGTAAAATAATATGCAACAGAAGGCCTAGATTAGCCAAGACCTATCAAGCCAATTTAATTAATTAATTCTACCAATTCTTGTGAATAATGGAAAAGTATATGTCTCAACCTTTGAGCCTGCCTTATAGAAAGTGACTAGGAAATATTTCTGAAGAAATGACAGGGGGTGGGGGGAAGGGGGCACATGCAAGTCACTGGAAAACCACATTTAAAAAGATAAGCAAGTAACAGTTAATAAATTCAAACTCCATATTGAGTAGGTATTTTCAGGGTCTGCCTCAATCTAATGCCTTCAAAGCATTTATTATTGGTTTGAATGATGGAATAATGTCTATCTGTGTATAAAACATGCAGGTAAGAACTGTCAGAAGTCACATTTGCTCAAAGACTGACTTTGAAGAGTTTTTGGAATGGAGAAAAAACTTCAACATCTTTTATAACTTCAAGCCCACAAAAGACTGTTGCACACAGAAAGGCTCTCTTGTGCCTTCTGGAGATGGAAACGATGGACTTTAACTGCAGTAAGGAAGGTGGTTACACATGGAAGAGCTTTTTAACTTTTGGGATTGAGTCCCTTAAATAGTTATGGAATCTTCACTGATGTAAGCTTTTAAGTTAAAAAAAACACCAAAACAAACCAACCAAGCAACCCAACCAAAAAACCCACAAAACCCCCCACAAAAACCCGGTAAAGACTTTCAAAGTTGAAATGACTCAAGGGGGGAAGTTGGTCTAAAGTTACCTTTTGATTTCCCCTCTATGACTTTTTTCTACCATTGTATTCTGTTCAGTTAGCGTGTAATAACATATTCTATTTCATTGGAGCAAATGCTTCATTTCAATTGCATTCTGATAAATGAAAACTAGAAAGCAACACATTAGAAACTGCTTTTGATCTTCTGAAATACTTGACAACTGCTTGTAAACATTTCTAGACAAGCCAGGTTAAAGTGAACAGCGTAAACATGCCAAATTAGGGCAGAAACAACCTGCCACTACTTTAAGCACTTCTTAAAAGCATCAGAACTGATGTTCTGTATGCCGAATTCTTTATGAATGAATCAGTTCCTTGCAACAACAGGGGAATTATTCTTTCTATACATAATGAAAAACATTTTGA